CTGCAAGGCATGTGGGATCTTAGCTTCCTGATGAGGGATCGAACTCACACTCCCTGCATTGGAAGGTGAAGTCTTAACCACTGGACCACCAGGGAAGTCCCTGATGAGTCTTCTAAGATAACCCATCTTATAATATATGAAGAATCAAATTTCCACTCTGATTGATACCAGTTTGTGGGAAATACTAGGAAAATGGTTTGGTTCAGGAGGATCGTGGCTTAAATCTTTACTAATCATATTATTACTCCTATTGGCAATTTTAATTCCAATAATGCATTACAGTCAGAGTGAGGCAACAACCATACATAATGTCTGCCCATATATTCCTTCATAAACCATGCTTTCACCTGCAAGCCTTCTATACTATTACCATATTTCTGTAATTATATTGCCCTCTAAGTTTTTTGTTAGCTATTTAAGTTATAACAATACACTGATCATCAGGGCTTAGCAACTGTAAAATTTTTTAACGCTCTCACATCTTTTTATTACCAATATCAATAAAAGTGAACTTGGGGTCCCAGCTGGAGTTCATGAGACCCTGGCCTGCCTATTGCTCACTCATAGTCCTCCACATTTCCCTGGCTGGTTATAATCAGAACAGGTTCTGAAAAGATTAGATTCCTCCTTTTTATAATCTTAATACTTAAAAAATTAGTTAAGACTAGGATGAGGGCTTCCCTGGTGGCGCAGTGGTTGAGAGTCCGCCTGCCAACGCAGGGAACACGGGTTCGTGCCCCGGTCCGGGAAGATCCCACATTCCGCGAAGCGGCTGGGCCCGTGGGCCATGGCCGCAGAGCCTGCGCATCCGGTGCTCCGCAAAGGGAGAGGCCACAACAGTGAGAGGCCCGCCTACTGCAAAAACAAAAACAAAAACAAAACAAAAACAAACAAACAAAAAAGACTAGGATGAATTTGTCCCAGTTATTTGAACAGATTATCTATTTTTTTTACAGTGATCCATCACAATTTTAGTAGCCACTCCATCTATCTTGTTAATGTCACTTTTAACGAACCACCTGAACATTTTTTTCTGATTCAATTCTGAGGTTTCTTTCATCTTATTTATATTGTTACCTTTTTTTTTTTTTTAAAGATTTTTAATTTTAATTTTTATTTTTTTTTATTTATTTGTGCTGTGTTGGGTCTTCGTTTCTGTGCGAGGGCTTTCTCTAGTTGTGGCAAGTGGGGGCCACTCTTCATCGCGGTGCGCGGGCCTCTCACTATCGCGGCCTCTCCCGTTGCAGAGCACAGGCTCCAGACGCGCAGGCTCAGTAGTTGTGGCTCACGGGCCTAGCTGCTCCGTGGCATGTGGGATCTTCCCAGACCAGGGCTCGAACCCATGTCCCCTGCATCGGCAGGCGGACTCTCAACCACTGCGCCACCAGGGAAGCCCCATATTGTTACCTTTCTTCTGAATAATCTTTACCTTTCTCCCCAGCATTAAGCCCCCCTCAACAGAGCTGACTAAGGAGATCCATAACATCATGCCCCACATCATACTGTCTCCCGTTGTTTTTGTTTTTGGCCATGCCGCGCAGCTTGTAGGAATTGACCCTGAGTCATCGGCAGTGAAAGCGCCGTCTTAACCACTGGACCGCCAGGGAATTCCCTGGTCTCCGGTTTTATAGTGGTGTCAATCATCAGCTGGCTCAGAGGGAGGGAGATAAAAGGTACAGTATCATTCTGAATCATGGGGTGCCATCTACAGCTCTAATGTCCTCTAGCTGCTTCCTTGATGGCTATATTTTTGCTAGAATAGGGGGTGGGAAGCAGCCAAGGAACCATATTCTTGTCTGACATCCCCTCAGTGTATTTTTTTTTAATTTATTTATTTGGCTGTGCGGACTGTAGGATCTTTTTATTTTTGTTTTTAGTTGCAGCATGCATACAGGATCTAGTTCCCTGACCAGGGATTGAACCTGTGCCCCCTGCACTGGGAGCCTGGAGTCTTTAACCACTGGACTGCCAGGGAAGTCCCCCTCAGTGTATTTCATTTGCAATCCATTTAGCAGGACCTACAGACTCCACATCTCACATATGTTTTTCCTCCTAGTCTTGAGTGCAGCACTTGGGCAAACTCAACCCAGGGATGCCCTGGAAACCACCCTGTTAAGAAAAATCCTTCCTCACCACCCTCTGTCTTTCTTTCTGCACAACAACCCCTTAGTCATTATTTGAATTAAAATAAGGGGTCATATCAAATATTCTATTCTTATCACCAAGTGCAAACCTTTCACAAGTATTTTTTTAAATTAATTTATTAATTTATTTTTGGCTGCGTTGGGTCTTCGTTGCTGCGTGCAGGCTTTCTCTAGTTGCAGCGAGCGGTGCGCGGGCTTCTCATTGTGGTGACTTCTGTTGCAGGGCACGGGCTCAGGCGCATAGGCTTCAGTAGTTGTGCCTCATGGGCTCAGTTGCTCCACGACATTTGGGATCTTCCTGGATCAGGGATGGAACCTGTGTCCCCTGCATTGGCAGGCAGATTCTTAACCATTGCACCACTAGGGAAGTCCCCACAAGTATTATAATTGAAGATATTTGCAAGACTCCACAGAGCGGACTCCTATGAGGTTTTCTTTTCTTTTTTTTTTTTTTTTTAGATAAGAGTTTTGTTTGTTTTTTTTTTTTTTGCGGTACGCGGGCCTTTCGCTGCTGTGGCCTCTCCCGTTGCGGAGCACAGGCTCCGGACGCGCAGGCTCAGCGGCCATGGCTCACGGGCCAGGCCGCTTCGCGGCATGTGGGATCTTCCCGGACCGGGGCACGAACCCGCGTCCCCTGCATCGGCAGGCGGACTCTCAACCACTGCGCCACCAGGGAAGCCCCCTATGAGGTTTTCTTAAAAGCAAAGCATGGAAGGGACTTCCCTGGTGAACCCCGCTTCCACTGCAGGGGGTGCAGGTTCAATCCCTGGTTCAGGAACTAACATCCCACATGCCGCACAGCGCGGACAAAGAAAAAAAGCAAAGCATGTGACACAGAAAGACAAAGAAAATGCAAGACTATATTGGGGGTCAGAGACCTCCAGGCAGTTTCCCAGACTCTTATTCACACAGTGCTGTGATTCACTTCCAAATTAAGCCACAGACATCTGAGTGCTGAACTGTGGCTTGAGGAGAGCTCAAGTCAGAAGATACCAGCAGGGATTTTTTTTTTTTTTTTTTTTTTTTTTTTTT